GTGATGACTAGCTGCCTTCCCTCTAGTCTTACACTGTTAAATTAGAGACAGCTAACAGATATAGTCCTCGTGCAGCTTTGCGCGAAATTCAAAAACAAGCAAACAAACAAATACATTTTTACCACGCACATGATACATGTCTGTAGATTTAAGTCGACCTAAAGAGAGCGATATTACGCAATAGATAAAATTTATACTTTATAAAACAAATCGTTAATAAATCGTTTATTATGTAATAATTTAAACTTGTATTAGTTTGTGATAAAATAGTTTACACGTGTTACACGAGATTTCCACATGTCAAAACCATTATTTTAACGACTGTTCATAGGATTGTACACAAGTCATCAACATCTAGATTTAATTATGTTAACATTCATTATATGTAATAAAAAATAATAATGAGTGACTTACTACTACTTACCCATCCATTATCTTATAGACAATCGCATTTCCAGATGTATGAAATACAAAACTTCTTTTAATGTTCTGTTATGCTCGGGTTATAGGGTTTTATTCATTTCTATCAAGACTTCTCGAACCTACGTGTTTTTCTAACATCATGAAAGGCTTGCCATCAGATACGGGTTCGTTAGTCGTATAATAGAAATAACATGTAGACATTTGTATGTGTGTTTCGTGATTGTATGTTTTCATTGACGCAAATACTACACACATTTTGTGGACTGCATTTTGAACACGTTACGTCACTATTGTGGTCCTCAAAGATTTATGATAAGTGTTGTTATTCTATAATAGTAATTAATCACACGCAGTAAAATTTAAGTTATAATCTCATTGAAACATGTTACGTTAAATAATGTTTTTGACAACTTGCAGAAAATCTGTAATCACTTGATTGGTAATTAAAAGAGTAAGTTTTACTTAAGATATCGTCCTTTTAGGACATATAAATGGTAAGGAAATTTAATTATCTGATGAATTAGTGTTAGCGTCCTTTTTTGAAACGATATAATTATAAATGAATTAGTCTTAAGCATCCTTTTAGACGATTTAACTATAAATGATTTAATGAATTAGTGTTAAGCATCCTTTTTAGGATGAATTAATTGTAAATGATCGAATTAATTAATGTTAATCGTCCTTTTTAGGACGAATTAAATATAATACTGTTTTAAGTAATTAGTGTTAAGCATCTTTTTTAGGACGAATTAATTAACTAAAGAATTGGTCTTAAGCGTCCTTTTTTTATGATGAGTTATTTATAAATGATTTAATTAACTAATGATTAATTATCGAATGATGAGACATGTATATGAGTCATGGCTGCCTAGAAACACGTTCTCTACTTTGTGGTACTATTACATAATTGCCCATTATGGCCGCCTGTCATGGCGGCTTAGGAACGCGTCCCTACCGACAAAAAAGTCATGATATCTAATCAAAAACACCTTAGGTGTAAAAAAAGGTGCAGTTAAAAAAGGATTGAGCGTGCGAATTAAAAGAATGAAAGCAAAATTGTCGGCCCAGCTGGTAGCTACACTTATAGCATTGATAAAAATTTTACAGCAGATATTCATTCATTAGTTAGCCAGACCGCATTTTTTGTTCAACTTGGGGCATGATATGTTTGGCAGGTGACAGGATACAACTAGACCGTTTCCGTCACGCTTAATGTATATTTTCTTGTTAATGATATATAAACCTTGGATTGCTTAGTACTGATCATAACTAAAGAAGACAGACCAATGTTCTGTCAAAACACGTAGTATGTTCCACTATCAATAAAACGTTTCCTTATGTTTATAAATCGTTGTTTACCCACGTATTATTATATTAGCATAATCTGCTTCCTTACTCAAGAAACTCCATAGGTAATGACAACACTTTATGATGTGCAACTGACGAATCCGCTACCTAACTTTTCTTCATCTTTGTCCATGTTGCCTGTGTTTTTCAGACCAGAGCTAAATAGAACTTTAGCAGATAGCTTCAAGTCACGTTGACTATGACTGAAACTTTGTTACTCTTCGGCATATCTTCATCAACCTCTATTATTCCCTCGATTATCTGCATGTGCAAGGTTCCGAGATTTTCAACTTGCAACTTGTGCAGCAGCTGTAGATGCAATCACGATGGACTTTTTGACAGCCATTGTTGAGGCAGATCCATTTTTAAGGCAAAGATGTTGTGGCGGCACTAAAATATAGGCTTGGTGCTGAAAAGAATAGTAGTGATATACCAAGAATAAGGGGGAAAAAAGATCGTATGATTGGATCTTAGAATATAAAAAAAGAGATAATCTATTCGTGTGTGTGACCATTTCTGGTAAGGTGCTGCAATCTATTCGTGTGTGTGACCGTTTCTGGTAAGGTGCTGCAATCTATTCGTGTGTGTGACCGTTTCTGGTAAAGTGCTGCAATCTATTCGTGTGTGTGACCGTTTCTGGTAAGGTGCTGCAATCTATTCGTGTGTGTGACCGTTTCTGGTAAGTCTTATAAAATGGTACTGGTGCAATTGGCCTTAACTTTACTTGAATAGATGGTAACATCCACCCCCACCTTGCTAAACTGATCAACACATTCCTTGAAGAAGAGGGATTTTACTGACTGGAATGGTCTTCACGTTCATTGAATTTCAATCAAATCGATCATCTATGAGATTCTTTTGGGTGACGCATCTGGTCAAGTAATTTCAATCACTGGAGTTTCCTTGGAAACCACTTTTTCAGAAAACATTGAGAACATCTCAGGACCTTACGAGTGCTTTGATCTTAACCACGCAACATCCTATCACATGTAGTTATTTGAAATAATGAATCATCGGATTGCTGAACGAGGGATGTGATTGACACATATTTGTAATAGGAATTTTACCTTGTCATAGTTAAAATATTACACAGTTCTTATTTAATTTTTATAGTTTATAATAAAAGGAGATAAATATCATGAAATCGGCAAAGAAGGCGGACAACTTTTTAATTTGAAGTTTATTCTCAGAAGTAGCATTTTTGTTTCGCTGTAGTTATGTTCAGTCTTAAACGAATATTTAATGCTAGTTTCACTTGGACAACTATTACATTGTGTGACTCGTGTAACCTCTTTAGGTTCTTTCTTGATATATATTTTCAAGGATAAACATATTCTTTATATTTATTTCTAATTGTAAGAAAACCCACACTCTTATGTTTCTTTTTAGAGATTGAACGCTATGTTTCTCTAGTCATGTAGCATTTTTGGTTACATACACACATGCTGAGACAATCTTTTAAAGGTGAGTCTCACAAGTATCACGTTTTCCCCTGTACTCTATTAGTTTCCGACTACAATTCTTTAGATAGTTTGAGCACACAGTTATTTATGAAGTCAGGTGGCGTACGTCTACATGTCAATAAATCTATTAGGATTAACCAAAGGTTACTTTTAACCTCACTTCCAGAAAGCTATGAGCTTATACTTACTTTTTTTTATCAGTAAAGCACATAAAATAGAATATTGTGAGATAAGGAAAGTCAGTACAATGTTCATTGTAGTTGACCCAAACATCTTGATAAGTTATACTCGAACCTGATATAAAGACATGAAAATTTAATTATATTAAAATAACATAAAAAATATCCTGTTATGGTTGTTGAATTATTTAAGATAAAAATCAACATATCTTGAAAGAGTAAACAAACAATTCAGTCACCACTCTAATTAATTTCCTGTTCAAGGTGATTAACATTCCCAAAGATTGTTACGAAAAAGATCATGAAGCGTATCAAGATATGTTGATAACTGACGAAATAAAACAGATGAGGGAATAGAAAATAAGACTGAAATAAATAAGAAAGAGAGTTTGTTTCAAAATTTTTTTTGCTAAGACTGATAGACTAGAGGGAAGGCAGCTAGTTAACAGTTCTTTCAGCCAGTTCTCAGTCTACTCTTATCTGACTGAATAATGGGACGTAACCGTCACTTTTATACCGCAACTACTGCCTTAAAGTTCGGTGCTCATTTTTGTAGTAACGA